ACGGACCTGGAGGAGAAGGCGGAGGCCTGAATGCGACACCCTCCCGGCCTCGGGCAAGTGTGGCTCCCCACAGACTTGACAGACCGCACAGCTGGGTCGGGAGTTTATCAGTGAGATCCGACACACACACCCTGCATCTGGAGGCAACGGGTGCGTCGCTGCTTTTTGTTTTGTTTTTTCGGTGTCTCTATCTTTACTCTACTTCTACATGTCATATGCACTCTCTCTCTCTCTCTCTCTCTCTCTCTCTCTCTCTCTCCTCTCTCTCCTCTCTCTCTCTCCCCCTCCCTCCCTTCTCCCCTCTCACCCTCCCTCTCTCCCTCTCATTTTTTTTTTTAATTTTAAAACTTTGCCCTTTTAAAAAGAATTTAACTTTCAAAAGGAGAGAACAGAACTGAGATTGCCACAGTTGGGGAAGGGGGACGAGGAAAGGGAGGAAATGGTCAGGGGCCACGAAAAACGATTACATTGTATATTGTTGAATGTACTAATTGTCCCGATCTGAGCATCACGTATTGCACACAGGCATTGATATTCACCTCTGTACTCTACAGATATGTACAATCAACGATGTTACAGTAAAAAATAAACAAAAAGAGTTTAACTTAGGCAGCTTGAATTCTTTGCAGTAAACCTTCTTGTCTGTGGATAGAGGTATACGATTTCAGGAGTAATATTCCCTCCCCATTGTTTCAGTAATAGCATCCTAAATTCAGATTNTTTCCATTCCCAGGAAACATAGGCTTTTTTACCTCACTACAGCTTCCTCTTGGTTTTTGTGATTGAGTTATTTTTAGTTACCATGTTTCTCCTATGCCTTGTTTAACTATGCTGTATCTAGACTTCTCTTTCTCCATTAATTAATTTCCACAGCTCTTTTCTTAAACCTTTCCTACACTAAAAGATATTCTAATTTTTTTTATGTCCTATTAAAAGAAAAAAAACAAGAAAAGGGGGAAACATCTGGTTTCTCTAGAAATCAAATATCAAATCTGCCCCAAATCAGATGCCTGATTCCAGGTTTATAACATAAATTCATTCACTAGTTCAAATCCAGATTCATTCGCTAGTTTGTTAGTTCTTTTATTTTTGCTTAACCTAAAAGAATGTTTTTGCTTTTAGACCCAATTCCAAAATAGGAGAGCAACAGCGATGTTGTTTGATCATTATAGAGTGTGATTATGTGCAGCTAAGCACATACATGACTTCACTTAAATCTCACACAGCAATCCTATGAAATAGGTTGTATCCCCATTTTATAGATGAATAGGCAGAACTAAAAATCTTAATCACTGTGTTTATACTGCTTACTAATATGTGTAGTAAATATGCAATTCTGAGCTAATTAGAAATTTATTAGTATATTTAAAGCAGCTGTAAACTCAAGGCAATCTTAAAATTTTTGATCTGGTTTAGAAGCATGTCAAAAAATTCAACAATAATAAAATAAATGTGTAGGCCCGTTTTGTAGTGGTTCATGTTCAGCAGGTATTGATGTTTACAGGGCTTGGTATTCACTGGTAATATTATGAGAGATATCAGTGCATGTCACAGCCAGACTCTTGGACTCCATTCAGTTATGTTGTGATCAGCGAATGGAACAGCCCAATGGTGAAATGTACCATGGATTTTCAGATCAGATAGAACTTGATTTTTCCCCTACTCTTGGATGACCTTGCAAGCTACTCAACCCTCAACCTCAGCATAGTCATCTATAAAATGGGAATAATAATACCTCCTATGACAGTGGATAAATTGCTTAGAGCTTTATACATAATAAACATTTAATAAAATGGGAATTGTTAGTAACAATTATCATAATCATAGAATCTGAGTTGGGAAGGATTTTAAGGGTCAGATAGGCTTAGTACAAGCTCTGGTTCTAGTAGCAATATAATCTTAGTTAAGTCATTTGCCTCTCTGAGTTTCCATTTCCTTATCTGGTTGACAGTGTTAAGCCTAATGACCTATACCTTTGGTATTGAACTACTTGATTTTGCATATATTAAAGTGTGACTTCCATTAGGATATAATATTCTTGCTAAAATTACAAAAATCAAAGAAAAACAAAAACTATGCTGTGTCCTTGGGAGAACTTGTTTCATGTAAGTAGGGCTTTTTCTTTTCCTTTTCTTTCTTTCTTTTTCTCCCCCCCCCCCCCCCAGGATAACATGATTAGTCATTCAAAGTACAAGCTTCCAGACCACTTAAAATCACAGCTCAATAACCCACCAGCTCTACGGCCTTTAGCAAATTACTTAAGCTCTTTAAATCTCTGTTTCTGATCTGTAAAATGGAATGATGTTTCCTCGACTGTTTATATGAATAAAAAATATTACCCACCAATTGGATTGTTTTATGAATTAAATGTTAAGCAGCTAGAACGGTGTAGGCAGAGTAAGCACCGAATACACTCTGCTGCTGTGTACAAAAAAAGAACTATTATAAAACACTGAAAAGCACTTTGCAAAGTAGAAAGCCCTTTGGAAAATTTTTTTCTGTAAATGAAATAATAAACATTAGCTATCACCTTTTATGGAAAATTGAGGTTGATTCACATCAGCAAGAGAAAGCTGAGGACTTGATTATGGCTGTGTCCTGTCTTATTAACAAAGTACACTATGTTAGAAAACAGGCTCTTGACATTCCCGCCAGCAGATACATTTTAGTTAAACGTATTTTTACCTTTCAAAACCCTTTCAATTGTTCTCCAGAATACGCCAGAAAAGCTCCTGTGTTAGTAGCTAACCCACTTTTTAAATCCACTCATGTGCCTTTAATTGCCTTTAGCGTGCAGGGTTGGGGCAGCAGGATGGTTGGAACGGCAGTCGGTGTTCGCATCACGCTCTCACCCAGCAGCCCCAATCTCAGGAAACACCCGTTGCTGCAAGGCCTTGGGCAGGATAAGGGGAGTTAAGACCGGCAGAGAGGATGAGCCCTGGCGGCGCGCGCAAGAGGCAAAGACTGGCGCGGTGGAGGCGCGTTGCAAGCTCGGGGGCTTCCAGCTCCCGGGGAGTGGGGACGGCGCGCCGAGGTCACTGCAGCCCACCGGGCTCAGGCACCACGCGGGGAAGGGTAAACTCCTCTGTGCATCCAGCTTTGGAGTTTCGCGGCGCCGGTGGCTCTGAGCGCGCCGCGGGAAGAGGCGCTGAACTACAACCCCCAGGCTCCCGGGCGAGGCGGCACGTGGTCCCGGGCCGGCGGCCGGGGCTATAAAGAGCGCGACCGGGGCGGCCGGAGCGGAGCGGTGGCGCTGGGCGGAGCGGCGGAGGCGGTCCCGGACCCGGACCCGCGGCGGCCCGGTGAGCGCCGCCCGCGACGACGCGGGCGTGGACCGACGGACGCAGACAGACCCACGAGCCGGGCATCCGGCAGAGGGGCGCGGGGGACCTGACTCGGGGTGGGTGAGACTGTGACGGACCTGGAGGAGAAGGCGGAGGCCTGAATGCGACACCCTCCCGGCCTCGGGCAAGTGTGGCTCCCCACAGACTTGACAGACCGCACAGCTGGGTCGGGAGTTTATCAGTGAGATCCGACACACACACCCTGCATCTGGAGGCAACGGGTGCGTCGCTGCTTTTTGTTTTGTTTTTTCGGTGTCTCTATCTTTACTCTACTTCTCCAAGTCATATGCATTCTCTCTCTCTCTCTCTCTCTCTCTCTCTCTCTCTCTCTCTCTCTCTCTCAAGAATAAAAAATGGATCTGACTACTGCCCCATTCCAACTCCCATGTTGCTTAAAATTTGGGCTTAGACATTAGGACATTAAGCCAGAGCCTAATTTCCTCCCCTCCTATGTGGGACATGACTTTCTGGGAATGAGCCTTCCCAGTGATAAGGGACCAAAATATCTATCCGAATTGACCTTCCTGCTTTCAGACGAAAGCTTATGATCGAAACTGTGGAAGTGATAACCAAAAGCTACTCCGACCAGGTACGCTACATTATGGTGTCTTGGAAGATTGGGGGTAAGTGAGTAATCACGTCTATCTGACCTAAACAACGTTGTCATAAGACCATGTTTACATAGAAGCAGAATTAATGGCACCTAAAAACCATAAAGTACCCTAGAATGTTTCTTATTACCCTTACATCCCTGCATGTAGGCTATAACCTAGTAACACTCCCAAACCTGTACATCATGTACAACCCATACGAATCCTGTTGAAGTCATTAGTTGGGGCTGTCTCTCTCTCTCCTTTGGCTCTTTCTCTTTTCTTGTGATTATGAATGGCTGAGCTCTGCTGACCCTCCTGAGAATGCATTTCTCAGGTCAGCCTGACTTATGTATTTCCCTGCCTTCAATCCTTATTTTGGCTGTAGCAGTGCACCACCGGGCCGGCCCTAATTTGATTTCTTTCAATCAGAGACACATATAAAACAGCCAACTTAAATCCTAAGAATATCAGTGTTACTGCCCTAAATATGAAATAAATGCAGCCAAAAGCACAAGAATGTTAATCTTTCTAAACCTCCAAAGTGATTTTAGTCTCAAAATTCCAACTAGAAAAAGTCAGAGAAATCCTAGTATCCTATACATTTGGGAAGGCTCCCCTTTACTGACCTTCAATATAGAGCGAAGCTACTTGCAGAATTTGGGCTTGATTTCAGGAGCAAGTCTTTCTGAGAACATGTCTGCAAGGGGAGATATCGTGTTGGTGTCCACAAAAGCAATAAGTATTTCTCAAGGGCTCACCTGATCGAGGACTCTTGGGGGATACAGAAAAGTAGGAGATATGGTCTTCATATCCTACTTCAGAATTATATTCTTCTGTTTGGGGAGATGAGATTAACAGCTGTAAGACAAGCGCAAACAAAACAGGAGACTTCAACATTGAGAACTACATTATGTGGGTCAGACTTAAGTATAGTGGGCACTGGGTTTTCAGTGTGCCAGCAGTGTCAGAACTGTAACATATCCACTCTGGTTGATCACCTATAGACATCACTGTATTTGCTATAAGCCCATTATCTTTTGTATAATTGTCACCATACACTATCTGATTATATTTTATTTTCTTCTGTTGTTAGACATTGCATTTGTGGCTTTTTATGTCTTACAGCTGAAAAAATCATAATGTTTTTATAACTAGCAAGTGACAGAGCTGGGAATTGAACCAGGCAGTCTGCTTGTGGAATCCAGGCTGTTAACCAGTATGCTCTGTTTCAGTGTGCAATGGCCTATGTTGGGTCTTTTGCACTGATTATGGACAGGAACGCTCTCTGCCAGGTGGTGAGGGATCCTTAGGCCCCAGAAGAGTGGTGTAGGGTTGACTTTTTCAGCAGTGAGCTCCCCGTCTGTGGAAGTTTTCTTCTAGCTACTGCCTGAACACCTCATTCAGTCACCCACATAGTCACCACTTTTGAATTGAACACCAGGTGTCAGGCAGAGCCCTCAATGCAGGGAAAGAAAAGGCAGAAATGAAACATTCCCTGTTCTCAGGAGCATGCTCTAGTGGGGAAGAGAGAGGTGGACATGCAGTTTACATGGTTTACTAGAGCTAGGAAAACTGGGCAAGACTGGACAACAGAAAATGAAAGGATGATTAGGTCAGTCCGAAGACAGGTAAATTACACTGAAACCTTAAGTGCTGATTTTAGGTGAGGTTATAGCTTAAAAAAATGAAGATACGGAAAGAGAAAAGAATGTTCCTTTTTTATGACCATATTTCAATTTAACAAATAGTAATTCTTGATGTACTTAATTTACCTGAGTTAGCAGATCCGAGAAAGAACTTGGACGTGTTATTTAACCCCTAATCTTTGAGGTTTCAGATTGCCTCAATCATCTACATAGGTAAGATGGGAGGCCCTCCAGATAGTATTTTCCTAGGTCCATCCCGTCCTGTTTTAGAGTTTTCTCCTCAATAGAAATAAGCTCTAAAATTTTTACATCTTTTCAGTTACTCTGTGTGTTTTTGTTCTTGTAGGCATATTTTACAGTTCTGAGCTAGAAATGGACTTTGCCCAGGAGTTTTATCATTAATTGACATTTCTTGAAGAAAGAAAAATTACCTTGTATGTTTTCCAGACTTTCCAGCACCTCAATGGCCTCCACAAAGAAGACACTTCAGGGTCTTGTTGCTGCAACCATCACACCGATGACAGAGCAAGGGTAACTATCACATGGGGCCATAAAGGGGTCTGCTCTCATTTAACCAAAAAAGTCAGAAGTTCCCTGTAATAAGTCACCTAGATTCTGCACCTCTGTGGTAGTGTTGCCAGATGGCAGCTTCTGTCGGTGGTGCCTCTGCACTGTCTCTGACCCCCACATCAGAGAAAGGGTCTCTATATCACAGTGCAGAAAGGGAGAATGTAAGAATTGGCAGCTTGCCTTTCTCCCAGTGTCTCTAGCTCCTCAAAGCCAATTCTCCTTGGATTTCAACACAAAATCTTAGCTTTCCCTAATAAGGCCAGTAGAATTGGATGAGGAGAATCCCATTTTAACATGATTTGATATCAGGCACTCTCTTGGCCCCTCTAGGGATCCTGTCTCGAGACGTCTGCATGATTCCACCCCAGGTTTTTCGTAGACTTGTTGAAAATGTCCTCTCCTGAGGACAGTGGGAGAGTTTCTGCACGATGGACTCCTTAAACATGTTTACAGTCTCATTTCAACATTGATTAAATGTTGGGGTGTGGGAGTGAAGAAGCTGGAGGTAACAGCAGATGACTGTTGAATAATCATTACCCAAGCAAGTATTTGACTCCAGATAAACACTATGGCAGTCCCTTTGCTGCATGATTGGATAATGGCCGTGTGCCATAGGTGACCGTGCCCTGTATTTAACTCCTCCTTGAGCACTGCCACTAACAAAAAGGGGATTCCTCCACCTCCTGGATCTAAGTGTTTTGACCTGTCACAGGAGTCAGACCACCAAAATATCTGAATGCTGGCTGGCTTCTTTAAGCTTCTCCTTTCTTTCTCTGTAAAATATAATAATCATCATACCCACATCATGGAATTGGGAGTGTGAAATGAGATAATCCATGCAATAGTGCTTAGCATGGGGTCAATATGCACTTAGGACAATAAGCTTGAATTGCCATTATGGCATAAGACAGGAGCAAAAAGAAGATGAGATACTTAAGATACCTCTTTAAAGAGGCCCTTCTATTTGGTTTTCTGTTGCTGAATTTGTAAACCCTAATCCTATCCATTTAAAGTAGAAGGAATTTCTTATGATTTTTAGTATTCTCATTCAAAGTTGGCCACATCACAGTTCTCACTTAGATCACTGGAGTCCAAGACTTGCAGTTTCTAAGAGTCATGAAATCACATCCTTACTAGGTCTGAATAACATTTTTGCTGAGATTGCATTTAGCTACTCAGCTGGTTAATAATTTTTTTTTCTGTTACTTCTCCCTTCTCACGAGTTCTAAGAAAGACTGAAATCAGCTGTTTCTCAATGCGACAGCCATTTGTTGGACAGATAAAACAAGACATGCGATTGCATGAGCAGGCAGGAATTACTTCCTGTGGCAGAGTGAGATCCTGTCCTTAAGCTCAAAACCCTACATCTGGCCCATGTTACTTTAACCTTTTAATGAGACCCCTCTTAGCCTGGAAGTGGCTTCTTAAACAGCCTTGTTTGTTCATGTATGACCCACTGAGGATGTCAGTGTGTTCTTCCTCCCTATTCTTATATTTTTCCTGAATGTTAGAGATAAGCAAATGACTCTGCTTTTCTGGGTCTCTTTCCATTTCCCAAATACCTCTGGCCCTGCTGCCTCCATTTCACCATTTCCTCTTTTTTTTTTTTTTAAATCAATTTCCCTTTTCTCTTCTAGGAACCTCACTTTCCTGAGGTGAAAAATCAAAATAAAAATGCATTCTTTCTTGGGGCCTTCTAAGAATTAAATTAAATTGAACAGTGTATGTCAGTGTATAGCACATACTAGGTATGTGAGCTATGTTAGTTCCCTTTTCTCCCTTCACCTGCTTCATCAAACATTCCTATAGGTATAGAGCAGGTTTAGAACACCCACCGAGACCAGGTATGCGTTAACTTACTTGCCCACAGGGGAATCTGCACTTCTGACATGTTTCCAAGAGAAAAGACAGAAGGGGGGGCCGGCCCGTGGCTCACTCGGGAGAGTGTGGTGCTGATAACACGAAGGCCACGGGTTCGGATCCCATATAGGGATGGCCGGTTTGCTCACTGGCTGAGTGTGGTGCTGACAACACCAAGTCAAGGGTTAAGATCCCCTTACCGGTCATCTTTAAAAAAAAAAAAAAAAAAAGACAGAAGGGGCACGTAGAATCTGATACCTAGAAAAAGTGCCAGACCAGCCATTGTGGGGGTCTTCCCCACCTGGCTTGTACCAAATACCACAGCCTCCATAATTCTGAATGGCTGAACAAGTCTATTCCCCTATGTCCTTTTTTCTCCCTAATTCCAATGAATACTCACTAATGATTCAACTCTGAGTATAAGTTGATGTCCTAGAATAGGGAAGTTGGCAGAAAGAACATGGCCAAACAGATTTTTGTTAAAGTATCTGGGCCCTGGACCCCCAGCTTTGCCAACTAGCTGTCTGACCCTGTGGAGGTTTTGTCACCCTTTTAAGAGCTGTCTTTCATATTCTGTATCTCTGAGACCCATTCCAACTCAAAGAGTCTGCAGTCTTCTGGTGTTATGTCATAGAGATATTGTAATGATCACCATCCAAGTAAGAATATAAAAAGTATCTGCTGGGGCCGGCCCGGTGGCACACTGGATAGTGCGCCGCTTGGGAAGCGTGGCGGTGCTCCCGTCCGAGGGTTCGGATCCCACATTCAGACCGGTTCCTGCTCACTGGCTGAGCGAGGCGCGGGAGCAACGCCGAGGGTTGCGATCCCGTTGCCGGTCCCCGGTCCGGT